GTTTTTCACTATTTGTATGTTTCGTATATGATTCTATTTGCTTCCTCCAACAATCAAAACCTTTATTAATAAATGTACTTATACTTTCAAAACAATAATCAGTGTTCACTGTAAAATGTTAGCACATAAAACAATGTACCATTTTTTTTAAAATAGAGTATTCAATCCAACTAAAGTTTGTATAAAATGTGGAATTAAATGATCTGTTTTGGTGATTTCTTTGGTGATTCAAAAGAATGGATCATTATTTTTTGTAAGAGATAAATCAGGAACCTTAAAATATATTTTATTAGGTGAAGTTATTATTTTTATTATTCATTTTTAGCATACTGGGGACTTAAATACTAACCTTATTTTCATTGTTTATTGTTTGCTCAATACCACTTAATTTACGATCAATATTAATAATTTGAGGTTAGAAATTGTCAACTAAAAAATTTGATTTTGATATATTTTGGCTAGTAGATGATAAATTATTTAATTTATAAATAAGGCATAAGGTAAATAAACAGATTTATAGGGTTTAAACTAAGGGTGGGCCGAACCTAGAACCGATACTTGGTATCGGCTGATATTCGTGGTATTGGAAATATCGGTATCGGTTTATTTTCAAAACCGATATTTGAACCGATACTGCAAAAACTACTTATGATTATAATATCGGGTATCGGTTTTATTGGTTTGTGGTATCGGATTAATTTTAGTATCGGTTCATGGTTTTGTCAAAAAAGTTGATTTTTTTTTATGTAATATATTAAAAATCGTTTTTACTTGTGATTATAATATCGTGTATCGGTTTTATCGGTTTGTGGTATCGGATTAATTTTAGTATCGGTTCATGGTTTTGCCAAAAAAGTTAATTTTTTTATGTAATATATTAAAAATCAACTTAGTTTTTACTTGTGATTATAATATCGGGTATCGGTTTTATATCGGTTGTATATTTCGGTATATCGGGTATCGGTAAAAAGTGGTATCGGCCCATCCTTAGTTTAAACCATGATTAAGATTCCATGTTATATAATGTGGTACAATTTGATCATTTTATTGTTCACTCATTTAATTGATAATACGATATTTATTTAACGTCCATTACCCTGCCCCCTCCATCCAGAAATGTGTGATTTTTTTAATGCTTATAATTAGTACGTAATTTGTATGAATTTGTACAACCATTTTACCACTTTTATTAATTAGCAAAGTGTTATGTTAACAAAATAAAAAATATTTTCAGAAGAATTCTGTATGTTTAAAATATCTTACATTATTATATTCATAATTTTATTATTATTATTTATACAAAGGCATATTGCGAACACACTATTTCTATTTTAAAAATATATTTGTTAGATAACAATGGCGTGGGATAAAAATAGTAATTATTTTTATTTTCTTAAGAAATATCGGATAATATGTATTTTACTCGTATTTATAATATTATATAAACTAATAACAGTTTATTTCAATCATTGAGTTCTTCAATATTGTGTTTACTTTTGTAACTTTGAAGTGTAGCAGAGTTTTTGTAAATGTTTCATTTTGTTTTATCTTTTGAAAAATTTTTAGAAATATAATTCTATAAAATAATAATTCGTCAACGATATTATGAACGATATCAAGAAGAAAACCAGCAGTCAATTCTTCTAGGTTCATTGACGTTATATTGCATTTCAAAAATCGTGCCATAGATTTAAATGACAATAAGCATAACTACATATTATATATACAATTTATTTATTCCCTTATTTTATAATAATAAAAGAGTTTTAATTATTAAAAAATATGAAAAACCACCTTTTTTACTACATATTTCTATTTTTAAATTTTTTGTAATTATTTATATTCAATTTACATACAAAAATTTGACTAAAAAATTAAAATTCTACTGACAAGTTTTTATATCATATACATTTATATTTCGCATGAAACTTTAGTAATTTCTTTGACAGGTATTGGTTTTTTTTTTAGGTCATCAAACAACTCACAATTTTCATTACATATTTTCACGTATGTTGTGTAATGGCCTACAGAATTTCTTAAATTATTATTCCCTCTGTGAAAATGTGTTACTCCACGAAGTTTATACGACTTTTCATTAAGAGATATGCCTTTTGGATTATCACATAGTTTTAAATCTAATGTATATCCTGCATCATTGCTGTGTTCAACGTTTTCACCTGAAAAAATATTAGGTAGGTATATTCAAAATGTTGACCTACGATAAGTACTTAAGTTATTAAAAAGATAATCATACCTTTCTAAAACAGAATTTCAATGAAAATAAGTACAGGCAAAATGTTTGATTCAATATTATGCAAGTTTCTCCACGGAAAGACAATTATTATTAAATTGCTGCAATTCTTGGGTTTGACCGTTGGTAGTTTCATATGTGATGTAGCTTTAGGACGTTCAATTACCGATGGATATTTCTCACAATTTTTATTTGAACATATGACTGATTTAATAATTGTTAGAAATTCCAACATCATTGTTTCATTTATACTAAGGCATACTGCAAACATACTATCTATTTCTATTTTAAACATCTATAAGTTAGATAACGATGGCATGGGATATAAATAGTAATTATTTTTATTTTATTCACAAATATCCGATAGTATGTATTTTACTCATATTTACAATATACTCGTATTTGATATAAATTAATAACAGTTAATTTTAGTAATTTAGCTCTTTAGTGTTGTGTTTACCATATGAACTGTGAATTAGAGTGCAATATTTATACAAAAATTTAATTTTGATTTCTTTTTTGAGACATTATTTTGTAATAGAATTATAATTTTATTAAATATCTTATCTTAATAACTTATTAACTTTATTATTAAAAATGGCTGGAAGAAAACATTTCATTTGTTGATGCTAATCTTTTTACATCTTTCCGTTATAATTTTTTTTTTATGACAAAGAAAATCTTAAGAAAATTTTTTTATCCAATTTTCATGCCTTAAATATTAAATCAATTTTTATGAATTTTTAACTATAAAAATGTACGACTAATATTTTATGAGATAAAATCGGATTTTTGTAATATTTCTGGATGACTATAAGTTGCGTCCCAATGTACCTTTTTGATGTAAATCGAGTCCTGAGTAATTTTGGGTATACTAAATTGCATCACGTACATTTATTGTACATGTGTAAATTGTATCATGGGTATTTTTATATTAAAATTTATATTAACAATTTACAACCAATATTTTCCTCCCCATTAAAAATATTGCTGTTTGTACTAACACTTTTTTATTTAAAATTAAGAAAAAATAATAATAATAAAAAATTTTTATACGTCATATTATATTAATTATTAATTATGCAATTAACGAATACATGACAGAAACACAGGCCGCAATTTAAGTATGTACCTGAGACATACCGAGTCGCAACTCATGTATGTTGTTATGGGGACCTTTTATAATAAAATATGTAATATGTAATATATGAGCTAATATTATGAGTATATAATATGTACTATAATACAGTAGGAATATATATAAGAATATATTATATTCCTCAGCGTGCGAAATACTATACGCTTTTAGCTGTATATCAATACTTTGTTTTCTTTGATGTATTAGAAATTGTTGTTGCATCAAATGATGTTTGGAATGATATTAGTATATATCTGAATGGCCGTGTTAGCAAAAAAGCAATACATTTGTTCGCGCACAGTGATCGTCATAATGTAAAAAAATCTTTAGGATTACAAGTAGAGTAAATAAAAGACATTTGTCAGATTCCTTCAAATAATACTCAGGTGAACATTGCTAACGAACAGGGTTTATATAATTAGTTTATATAATATTATATGTAATATACAAGTATATTAAATACGAGTAAAATACATATTATCGGATATTTCTTAAGAAAATAAAAATAATTACTATTTTTATTCCATGCCATTGTTATCTAACAAATATATGTTTAAAATAGAAACAGTGTGTTTACAATATGCTTTTGTATAAATGATAATAATAAAATTATGAATATAATGATGTAAGAGATTTTAAACATACAGAATACTTCTGAAAATATTTTTTATTTTGTTAATATAACACTTTGCTAATTAATAAAAGTGGTAAAATGGTTGTACAAATTCATAAAATTTACGTACTAATTATAAGCATTAAAAAAATCACACATTTCTGGATGGGGGGGGGGGGGTAGGATAATGGACGTTATTTATTTATTAAAATATATTAAGTATTGAGTAATATAATGTAAATGTAAATGTAACCATGATTGTCTTAAATAAAATAAGTTAATAACAATATTGTTAATATAAAAGAAGTACAATAGGATTTAAATTGTATAAAAACAGGGGAAAATTATTTTAGCTGGCCAATTGGGACTGTGCTTAAAGTGAGGGGTGCAACCGCACACCCTGACCATCCCCCCTCAAATGATGCTATTGGGCCAAAGAGAACGCGACAATGTTCGTTTCGCGTCTGCACCTCCGACGTCGTGTACGGTTTCGTCTCGAAGTGCCGAGATTACACACAAAATGATAAATATTCATGATCATGATGATGATGATGATCATCATCATCATCATCCGCATTGCATAAACACATTGGGCGTACGCGTGTACAAACGATTACCTCCGGTGTGGTTGCTAAGCCCGCTTGGGTTTCGCGACGTCGTACGACGCGTACGTTTGGTGTTCACCGAAACGCCGTCGCCGTTGTACGGTTTCTATTTGGAAAACAGAAAAAAACAAGGGAGATCCGTTTCATAAGTTCCGGTTGTACGCGCGTAACCTACGCTAAACACGTCAACCAACACCTACGACGTGATAAACTCATCGATCTTGTTTCATGAGTCCGCTGTGTTCTTGTTGTTTTTTGCACAGCGTGATTGTATCCAGTGGCGGCGCGTGAACAATTTTATAGGGTAGACAACAAGACAACCAAAGATATGGTGTTATATAACATTTATTTAAAAACTAGATCATCATAAAAAAAGTAAATTGCATAAAATAACTATATTTGAATATAATTTAAATCGATTCTCCTATTTTGTTTTGTCGCGAATACATCTATTACATTGTTGATAAACGTTGGATCTTTTGATAATTCACCTAACATTTTTTTTTCAACAGCTAAAGTAGACAAAGATGAAAGCCTATCATTTGTCATTGAATTTCTTAAAAAGGATTTGATACGTTTTAAAGTACTCATGGATCTTTCACTTGAGGCTGTTGTTGCAGGAATAGTTAATACTAATTGAATAAGTTTCGTGACTTCTTGATATACTTCTTGAAGCTCATCTAAAATAATGTTTATAATTAAAATTATAATTTATTTTAAAAATTTTAAAAATATTTAAGAAATGTTTTAGGTTCTTACTTTTAAATATAAAATCAATAAATTCCAAAGGAGCGAAATATTTCAATGGATCTGCATATATTATGTAAAGCTCATTTTTTAGACGATCTTTATCAAAAATATCTGGATAGTATTTAAAAAGTTGTCTTAATTTTTCTTCTGGAAAATGAACTTTATATGATGCAAACATTTTTTCATTTATTATTTCAACAAACTCTAGTTTTTCAAAATCTTTAAATCTAATATTTATTTGAACAATTAATGAATCAATAATTTCATACGTAAGTCTACGTAAAATAGATCCTTCCTCATTTGTATACTTTAAATCTGTGTTTAATTCAACGGAACATTTTATGATATCGTGTATGGAAGTTTCATTTCTCAAATCTTTTATCCGTGAAGTAAGACTTTTAATTTCGTTAACACAATATTTAATATCAGTAGTTGATTTATTTTGTAGAACACAAAATGTGTGATCAGTAAATATAAATATTTTACTGAAAAGTACCAATAAGTAAACAAATTTTTGATTGTTCATAATACTCAATATACCAGATGCTGTACAAACAGAATTGGAATCCCAGCCAGGGTCATCAACTACATGAGATACGGCATTTTTTAGTTCATTGAAATGAGTTTTTATAGTTAAAGCAGCTCTTGAATGATAATTCCAACGTGTATTGCATTGATTTGGTAATTTAAATCCTTGCTCTCTTAATAAAGAACTTCTTTTAGAAGATCTACTAAAAAATGTGTGGAACATAGTAAGGTTTGCTATAAATAATTTAACATCTTTTATTGATTTTGCGCTGTGAAGTAGAACTAAATTCAATTGATGAGCGTAACAATGTATAAAAATAGCCATTGGATAAATATTTTGTATAATTGACTGAACCCCATTTTTTTCACCAGCCATAACAGAAGCACCATCATATGTTTGAAACACAACTTTTTTACCAATATTCCACTTTGAAAGTTCATTTAGAATTACTTCGGATAAACCAGCCGCAGTCATATTTTTGGAAACATCAAAAAATCCTATAAATCTTTCTTCGATCTTATTGTCCAGAATATAACGAAAAATTAAACTCATTTGAGATTGGCATGATACATCCGTAGTTTCATCGGCTTGTATTGATATAAAATTTGTAATTTTCAGTTCTTTTAAAATATGAGAATTTAATACCGTAGTTACGCAATGGATCAAGTCATTTTGTATGTCGTGTGAAGTTCCTTTAAAAACAGAATTTGTGCAAAAGTGTTCTCTTATAAATTGCTCTTCCTTAGCAAGTAAATCTAAAATTTCACAATAATTTCCTTTATTTAAAGAACCTTCATTCTCGCGATGTTCGCGGAATGCCAACTCTTGTTTCCCTAAAAAACAAACTACATCGATTAAACGAGCTAATATCTTTCTGTTTATGTCCACTTGTTTATTATGATTAATTGCAGTTAACCGACGACTCTCAGATATTGAATGTTCAATCCTATTTTTACCCAGCATATGAAAACTTTCCTTGTTAGTCAGATGTTTTTTTGAAATTTGGTGTTTTTCAGCTTTACGAACTAAATTTTTAATATTAGGAATGCCATTTATACTCCACTCATTCTCTCCTCTGAACAAGACACATATGTAACAGAATAATTTATTTCTTTCAACGCTTCCTGCTAACCAGTTAAATTTTGAATACAAAGACAATTGAAATTTTCTTAAAGTTTTTGGTTTTTTATATTCTAATGATAAATGTGGCGTTGGTCTCTTACCTTTTAAATTGCATTTTTCTTCATACGAAAAAGAACCAAGACCTTTATTTAAAATAATATCAATAATATCTGACATATTAAGTTTTAAATGTATATCACTTCATTAAGAAAAAATAATAAACATTAAACACGTGCCATTAATCATTAATCACTGTTGGAATGCAATTAAATTATAAAAAATATTACGTTGAGACATGTCTCTTCCATACATATAATTTTGGTAATACCCCACTACGTTCCCCGTTTATCATATCATACGCCCGTCATCAATAGTGAGACACAATTCAATATGTCTCGACCGATTTGACGGCGACGACGTAGTGATTACGGTATAGATTAGGTATAAATAAAATTATACTTATTAATAATATATATTTAGTCACACTCGTTACTCACACAGACACACTATAGAAACGAATCAGTGTAAATAACATTTTATTTATAAAATTATGAAGAAATAAAAGACTTATATAATATATTAAACAACTCATTTTTAAAATTAGAATATTTGATATTTTTGGGTAGACAATGTCTCATTGTCTACCCTAACGCGCCGCCACTGATTGTATCATGTTACCACAGCCGCAAGGCCATCAATAAGTCATTAACACGTTCACGGCCACCCCATAATTTTAAAAGTCGTATAAAAAAATCACAACATAAAATTCATAAGATTCCATAGATATTATATAATTCCATAGATATTACATAATTCCATAGAATATGATATAATACAATCTATGGATTATATTATATCTATGGTGCTGTATACAATCTATGGAATTATGTATTGTCTTTGAAATTACATACAATTTATGGAATTATGAATACAATTTTAAAATCTGAATGTGGCATATTTGATTTTTACTCGTTGTTCAAATAATTAGCATTCCATAAGCATAAGTCCATAGTGTAAAAAAAAAAAAAAAACGTTAATATATCAACGTAACCATTTCTTTGAAGTCGGGTAGTATCATATCATCTGGTCTGCTCAGTCTATGCCTGACATATTATTATTATAGTCAAAAACTATGGAGGGTTTGAATTTATTCCATCCAATTACAAATTGCCAAAAATCAAACTGCAAACATATGCAAGAATCATACGGTGTTACTTTTTTTAAGAAAAAAAAAAAATTGTATGCCTACAATAAACACTACTAATATCGCTATCCAGCTGTTGGATTTTAAAACCAAGTGCACCAATCGATACACAGAAAACTGTTTAAAAAAAATAATTTTATCATAATATTTATTAGAATAAGCCAGAGTCAAATAATTATGTATACAAATGAATGGACACCATGTCAACTATACTTGACATGGATTTATCTAAAGAGAACCCTACGTCAACTATAGTTGACACGTGGTCGTGGACGTGTTAAATCTGTAACGGATCGATAGCGAATCGAGCAGCGCGTGTATGTTTTTTGTTCGTATATTTAAACGATTTCGTTTACGATATAATTGATTCGAATAAATGTTATAATAACGCAGTAACAACACATTGTTCTTAATGTGCTCGTGTCGTAATTAATTTTTCGTCCGATAACCTTTACGTGTTTACATCGCGTTTTCAACGTTCATGGTATACTCACTAAAACAGTTCAACAACAACTCGGTGCAGCTAGAAAACTCCAGAACCACTCGGAACGCGTTGTTTTCAACGCGTTCGCCGTCGGAATTCGGTCCGCCGAGAGCCTATGTCGCGTTTGATATGACGAAACACTGATGTCGCTAACCTCGAGGTGCGCGCCGCGGAAGAACGCACTTCTCGTCGTGCACGTTGTTTGCGATTTAAAGGCTGTAAAAATCGATGAGATTAAACTGTTACGTACAAAATACCTTTAATACGGTCTTAATTGCAGTGCTTACTACAGTGATGGAGTATAAAACTAATTAAACCGAAAACGTAATTATTTGTACTACATTCGGTCCATAAACCCGAATCGCACTCGAGAAACACAAAAGACCGCATGAATACCGGGTGATTATTACACAAAACGCAATAACTACCTTCAGGGTTTGGTCGGTTCGAGGGGCAAACTACGTCTTTAGACATTTGTATTATGGCGGTTTCACCCTTTTCCTCGCCGTGCTACTTCACGATATTACAATGCGACGACTTCGCGGTCAGAGCAGGAGGGAAAATAATTAATTACTATTTTCAAATATATCCGGCACCGATGTACCCGGAGACAGTTTTCCCGTTTTAATTAAGCGGTTAACAGTGCACGATTCTAAAAATAATTCGAATCGAATCGCAAGCGGCGCTTTCGTCGTACGTGTCACCGCATCGAGACAAATTTAATGTATAATCTTTGCGCGTAACAACGCAACTGTTATTGTTGTTCGAAAAATATTTTCAGCCGACAAACTCGTTTGTCGTGAGAAGAAAATCCAATCGGCCGCTGGACTTATCATTAAAACGAGTGGACGTGATAAATTTTTCATTGCCGGAACCGTTCGCTCAACTCCTCATGAAAAACGATTTCCTGCGGCGACCAGCAGCGTACAATATGCGTAGCGATTGCGTGTAAAGTCTATGTCCTCTTTTAGAGATTATTTTTTTTTTTATTATTGCCTTTATAACTCTCCAAGAATCTTCGCCGCAGGGGCGGCTACAGAGCCTTGGTTAGGGGGGGCAAGTTATAATTTTACAAATTAAAACAAAAAGAAAACAACAATATAGTCTGTATAAAAATGTGTGCTACGCAATTCATGTTTTGAACATTATAAAATAATAATATTATAATATCATAACATAGCATATTTTATATTAATATAGTTTATTTATAGCCTTATTGGTTCTTCATAATATAGATAGCAGGTACATCGTATACAGTGGTGACGTGACGGCAGATTTTCGAGTCCCTGGACTCAAGTCAGTGGGTGGGTAGGTGGGTGGGTATTGACTATTAGGTATCGATTGGGTATGTAGCATGTAGAACGAATAGTGGGGAGCTCTTTTTATAAGCTACCCTTAAATTTACCCTTTTTAGGTGGGTGGGTTGGTGGGAAAAATCCTAACAGGACTCATGAAGTAAAATATTTCGCGCCGCCACTGATCGCATACACCGCCATACCACAGATTATATAAAAATAATAATTTTCATATAATCTGCAGTCATACCTCTATAGCTCTATCTACATACTTGTGCGTGTTGTGTAAGAGTCCATATTATAATATGCATGTTTTGTTAACAATATAAATATTTTATAAATACGGTACGGGTTTGGGGTGCGCGGCCCCTAGACCCCCCCGTTGGAGCCGCCCTTGCTTCGCCGCTACTGTCAAGGCCTTCCATTCTCTCATATTCTGCATAACATCTTTCCAACCTTCTACTTCCAGTGCTCTTAGATCCTGATATACTCCATCCACCCATCGCTTTCTCGGTCTACCCCTCGATCTTTTCCCACTTGGTTGACACTTTATGACTGCCCTCACAGCCTATGATTCATCCCTTCGCATGGCGTGTCCCTTGCAAACGTCGTGATTTTATGTAGTTCGTGACCTTCGGGCTTTGTTTAATTTCTCGGATTTTGGCGTTTTACCTTCTTCGACAGCACCCCGATTCGTCATCATAAATCGCACCGTAAATCTTCCTCAATATCTTATTCTCGAAAGAGAGTAACCTTTTCTCCGTTTGCACTGTTATGGTCCACATCTCGCAGCCATACATCAGCGTCGGTCTACAGCCATGCATAGTCTTAATTTTTCTATCTCAAGAATAATTTGTATTTGAAAAACTTTAATAATGCCTAATAAGTCCTCGTTACCAGAGATTATAAAAATCAATCACCTGACTCGTTGCGCACGCAACCAATCGACGGATGTCTATTATTCCACAACGTCCGTCGACGCTGCAAACTGCAACGCGCTCATATAAACGTGTACGCGTAAACGCATATTTTCAGACAATATTGTTTTACATAATAATAATAATAATAATACAGCAATCGTGTAAGTAAAGCATCAGATGGCAAGTGTGAAAACAAAGCGTCATACGCGCACAATTTAGAAAAAAAACACTTTCCTTATTCGTTTGGCTGCGCGTCAAAAACTAAATTGAATTCGAATTGAACTCGTGTGCACGCGGTGGCACGTCACACGTCATAACATATACTCGTACAAGAAAGCACTTTCCTCTCGGTAATATGCAATATGTATACACGCGCGCGCGCACGCACACATAACATACTGCTATAAGACTTCGCGTAAAGTTCACGCGCGCGCGCGCGTGCGCTTTGCTATTTACGGATATGTGCGCGCAGTGGAATTTCCGAGGGAGAAATATTACAAAAATCAACAAACCGATCGTAATATGTAAACCACTTTGACGAAATGCATTGTCAACACGGACGCATAATACGTTTGATTTCCCTTCTCCCCGAATATTATTTACTTGACTCATTATCGTGTACAAAGAGCACCGGAGAAATCGGAATAATTTCAGACGTTTTAACGATCCCTTACACCGTGGCTGCTCGATTTATTTTACAAGCGGGTTATAATTTACATTTACATCTGGTGCGCCATCTCACGAATAAAACTCGCTCACACTTATGATTCTTCCGTACATAGATACTTAAATAGATAGGCATTTAAATATAGCAAAATTTTAAATTGTACATAATTTAATAATATTAAAAATAAAAACATCAATGAGACCTATGAACACCTATGACTTATTAGCTAACGGTTTTTCAAAATTTGGGGTGATAAATCTGATGTTGATAATAAAAATCGGAAATATCAGGATCAGTTAATGCGAACTGCGGTAATTATTTTTTCCGTAGGTAAGAGTAAAAAAAGCTTTTCAAATGTTACATCTGGGGATGGATCCCCGTCTTCCTCCTCCTGGTTCCGCCACTGCGTATCAGCCTAATTTTATTCTGAAGGAGGTTAATTATCGCTATAATCAGTGCCTGATTTAAGAGAATTACGGCCAAGTACACAATTTTTTTTTGGGGCCCCTCAAATCAAAAAAATTTTCTAGAAATAATCTACATAG